CCCTTAGGTCTGTTGGTGGTTTCCCTTGCAGTGTAGAAGCTTTTTAAAAAGATGAGATCCAAGCTGTTGATTGTTTGGGCTAGTTCCATGCTATGGAGGATTTGTTCATAAAGTCTTTTCTTATACCAATGTCTTCAGGAGTTCTACCTAGCTTGTCTTCCAATAAGTTTAGGGTTTCTGTTTTATTATTTACATTTTTAATCCACTTGGATTTTAGTTTAGTTCATGGTGAAAGATAGGGATCTAGTTTTAATCATTAGTAAATTGAAATCCAGTTTTTCAAACACAATTTATTAATGAGGCTATTCTTCCTCCAGTAAGGACGGTTGGTTCCTTTGTCAAAGATGAGGTAGCTCAGTATGTCTGGAGATGTTCCTGCATCTTCTAATCTAGTCAACTGATCCTCAGGTATATTGCTTTGCCAGTACCATGCTGTTTTTATCACAGTGGCTTTGCAGTATAGTTTAAAGTTGGGGATAGTGATACCCTCTGCCTTGTCTCTGCTGCCTAGAATGGCTTTCACTATTTTAGATCTCTTCTGGTTCCAAATGAATTTTTTTATTGTTTGCTCTAATTCTATGAAATATACTGTTGGGATTTCAATCAGGATTGAACTGAATCTGTATAGCAGTTTTGGTAGAATGGCCAATTTCACTATATTGGTTCTTCCTACCCAGGAACAAGGGATATCTTTCCACTTTCTTATGTCCTCTTTAATCTCTTTTTTCAGAATGCTGTAGACCTCATTGTAGAGGACCTTTTCTTCCTTTGTTAGATTGACTCCCAGATATTTCATTCTTTTGGGTTCTAATGTGAAATGAATTGATTGCCCCATCTCTCTCTCAATGAATCTGTTAATTGTGTACCAGAAGGCTATTGATTTTTGAGTGTTTACCTTACAACCAGCTATTCTACTGAATCTGTCAATTAAGCCTACGAAGTCTTTTGGAGGAAATTTTTGGGCCTTCTATATAGAGTATCATGTCATCAGCAAATAATGACAATTTAACTTCTTCCTTTCCTATCTTTATTCCTTTTATTTCTTTCTCTTCTCTAATTGCCATGGCTAATGTTTCCAAAACTATATTGAACACAAATAGTGATAGTGGACGTCCTTGTCTTGTTCCTGATTATAGCGTGAAGGTTTTCACACTATTGACCATTTAGTATGATGTTGGCTGTTGGTTTTTCATAGATAGCGTTTATCAAGTTGAGATAAAGACCATCTTTTCTAATTTTCTGCAGGTTTTTTTAAAATCATGAATGTGTGTTGAAGTTTGTTGAATGTCTTTTTTGCATCTATTGAGATTATCATATGGTTTTTGTCTCTGACTTTGTTCATACAGTGCATTGCATTTATTGATTTACATATGTTGAACCATCCTTGCATCCCTGAGATAAATCTGACTTGGTCAGAATGCACGATCTTCTTGATGACCCTCTGTATTCTGTTTGCCAGTATCTTATTGGGGAATTTTGGATCTATGTTCATTAGGGAGATTGTTCTGTAGTTCTCTTTCTTCGTTGGGTCTTTCCCTGGATTTGGAATCAAAGTAACCCTTGCTTCCAGGAATGAATTTGGAAGTATTGCTTCACTTTCAATGTCATTGAAAAGTTTAAAGAGTATTGGCAGTAGTTCTCTAAAGGCATCAGGGCCTGGGCTTTTCTTAGTTGGTAAGTTTTTAATTACATTTTTAATTTAATTGATTAATATTGGGTTGGTTAGCATTTTTAGATCTTTGTTCAATGGGTAATTCATATGAATCTAGGAATCTGTCCATTTCTTCTGTATTTTCCATTTTATTGGTGTATAGGTTCTTGAAGTAGGTAATGATGATTCTGCTGGATCTGTTGTTACTTCTCCTTTTTCATTCCTATTTGCATGGATTTCAGCCTTTTCTTTCTTTTGTTTGTTTGTTTGTTTGTTAAGGTTGGCTAAGGGTTTATCAATTTTATTTATGCTTTCAAAAAACCAACTCTTCAATTCATTGATATTTTTGGTACCATTCTCTTAATCTCCATTACATTGATTTCTGCTGTGATGTTTATAATTTCCTCTCTTGTATGAACTTTGGGTTTGTTTTGTTCTTCTTTTTCTAGAAACTTAAGATTTAGCATTAGGTTGTTTATTTGTGCTTCCTCTGTTTTCCTAGTGTGGGCATTCACCACTATAAATTTCCTCGTAGAACTGCTTTCTTTATTTCCCATAGATTCCTGTATATTTTATTGACATTATCATTTATTTGTAAAAACTGTCTAAATTTATTCTTTAGTTTCCTCTGTGACCCACTGGTTGTTCAAGAGAGTTTTATTCAATTTCCATGTGTTTGTAAAGTTCTTGTGGTTTCTCTTGCTATTGCTCTCCAGTTAATTTGCACTATAGATGATAATATACATGGGATAACTTCAGCTCCTTTACATTTACTTAAACATATTCTATGTGCTAGTATATGGTCTGTTTTGGAGAATGACCCATGTGCAGCTAAAAAGAATGTATATTCTGATTTTGTGGGTCAAAACACTCTATAGATGTCTGCTAAGTCCGTTTGTTCAAAAGCTTGGTTCAGTTCTATTTCATTGTTGATTTTTTGTCTAGATGACCTGTCTATTTGTGACAGTGGGGTATATAGGTCCCCCACTACAATTGTATTAGTGTTTATTTGGTTTTTCATGTCCCTTAAGGTTTGTTTTGTATAGTTGCGGGCATTAGTATTTCTTGCAGATATATGTATGGTTGTTATCTCTTCCTCTTGACTTGTTCTCTTTACAAGGATGTATTGACCTTCTTTGTCTCTCTTAATTAGTTTTGATTTTAAATTAACTTGGTCTGCAGATAAGATAGCTACCCCTGCTTTTTTCCAGGTTCCTGTCACATGCCAAACTATTTTCCATCCTTTTACTTTCAATCTATGAGCTTCTTTTTAGACTAGGTGAATTTCTTGTATAAAGCATATTGTTGGATTTTGCATCTTAACCCATTCAGTCAATTTATTTCTTTTGATTGATTAATTAAGGTCATTAGCATTAATGGTTATAACTGATATGTATTGGCTTATCATTATTGTGTTATTACCCTGTTTTGGGCTCTTCTTAATTTTTCCCCCATCCCTTTAATTTATTGCCTTACCTGCTGTATCTGCTTTGTTGTTTCTCATGGAGTTGTGACATTCATTGTCTTTTTCCAGAATATTATTTAGAATTGTTTGGAGTGCTGGTTTGGTATTTATGAAGTTTCTCAGGTGTTCTTTGTCATGGAAGTATCTCATTTCCCCATCAATTTTGAAAGATAGTTTTGCAGGATACATCAGTTTAGGTTGGAGGTTGTTTTCTTTCAGGGCTTGAAGTACTTCACTCTATGCTCTCCTTGACTTGAGGGTTTGTGCTGAAAAGTCTGGTGTGATTCTGATGGGCTTTCCTTGGCATGTGATTTGTTTCTTTAATCTAACTGCTTACAGTATTTTGTTCTTCTGTTGGGTTTCTAGGATCTTGATTATTATATGTCTATGTGTAGATTTTTTTTTTTTTATCATGGCTAGTTGGGGTCCTACATGTCTCACTTATCTGTATGTCAAATTGTTTTATTCTGTTTGGGAAGTTTTCTGTAATTAATTCTGTGAATAGCTTGTCTTTATGTCTTTCTCTTGCTTTTTTGTGGACTCCTATCAGTCTCATATTATTATTTGTATCATCTAGGAGCTGTTGGATTGATTTCTTACATTCTCTTACTATTTTTAAGAAGTCCTTCTTTTCATGGTCACTAATCTCCATCCTGTCTTTTATATTCGATATACTGTCTTCAGATTGGCTCAGTCTGTCATGTAAACTTTCAATATAGTTTTTAATCTTCTGGATATCTGTTTGAATCTGTTTCACGGAGTCCATTTCTTTCCTATGCTGGGCATTCATGGCTTCTACCATGGTCCTGGGCTCATTTTTTTAAAATCTGTTTTTTGTTCTAGAGTCTCTAATCATGTCAGTCATTCTGTTCACCATCTCTGTAGTTATCTGGAAAATTATTTCTGTTTTGATTTTTCTAGAGTCTCATTCATCTGTTTTGTTACGTCTCGTGCTATCAGTTCAGGATGTCCAGGTGGTTGATTATCAGTCTTTTACACCTCATTTGTCCCAGAAGCTGCCTTTGGTCAGCTGAAAGTCTGTCTTTGTGCTTGAGCCTCATTTGAATGAGGCTCATTTCTATTTTGTTGTTGTAGTTGTTGTTGGTACTGTTCTTCATTTGATACCTGGTTTAATACTTCAGCGTTCCTGTTATAGTTTGTATTTATGTTTTGAGTCTCTGATGACTTCAGGCAATCTCTTTTTCATTATACTAGGGAGGACTACTAATTAGATCAACTACAACATCATAGCCCTAGTGATACAATCAGCAACAAGAAAGTATCAAACACAGAATAGAAAATGACAATTTGTGGTAGTTATTAATCTATCACTTTTAACTCTGTGTACTAAATCAAGATTGAGGCTAGAGCTCAGGGCAACGGCCTTTATGACCCCACTGTTCTTCTGTGGTGTGAATCCAGGTACCTGCGCAGCCAGGAGGCAAGAGGTTGCAGTGGGAAGTGCTGAGATGTGGGCAGGAAGCAGGCTCCCACACAGCTGGGCCTCTTATTTGTCTGTTGCCAAGTTTGGGCAACTGGGGCACAAGATCAAAAGTACTATTTCAAAAGAAAGCTTGTAGTTATTATCTATTTGCATCTTTTTTATAAGAATCACGTTAGCTTATGTTTTGTTTGTTGAGTAGTTTGAAGATATTGATACACAACATAATAACTATTGTATTCTCTGATTATGAAATTTTGTTTTATTTATAAAAATTTTACAAAGCAATGGATTATAGAGGAAATCACAATAAGATTGTGCATTTAAATTAATAAAAGTGAAAGAATTACATATTAGAAATTGTGCAACATTTATTACAATGTTTTAAAATATTAGAGTTGAATACTTTTTGAAGTAAAAGAAGTTTGTAAAGGTAAAGAATATAAGAGGTAATGGTATTAGAAAGTACTTCACAAAGAAGTTAATATTTCAGCTACATTTTAGAGGGTGAATACCATTTTATCAGAGTAGTTTCAGGGGAAACAGCTTTTTCAAAGGGAGGAAGCAATGTAAATAATCAGCAAACTATGAATATGGGCTTCTGGGACCACCATATTTAGTTACCAGATTGGATGCTTGAAAAAACAAGCATTTATTTCTCGGTTATGAAGTTGGAGAAGTATAAGGTCAAGGACCCAGCAGGTAGGTTCCACTCAGAGGCCAATTCTCTTGGTTTGTAGATAGCTGTGGTCTCACTGTATGTCACATGATCATTGTCATGGATATGGAGAGAGAGAGAGAGATAGAAAGAGAGAGAGAGAGAGACCAAAGCTTTATTGTTTCTTCTAATCCTCTCATAATAGCCCCTCCCTCATCCCCTTATCTAATCTAATGTAGCCCAAGTACTATCACATTGTTATCTCCAAGAAGCACTGCTTTGAAAGGTAGGGCATTGAGGTGAAATTCCTAGGGGACACAATTGGTCTACAATGGATACACATGAAAGCAAGGAGGAGAAATACAGAAGGAAGAGAAGTTGGCACACACACTGCAGCCAGCTGTTTGTTATCACTGAAAGCTCTAAAAGGTTCCCTACCATTTGTGTAGAGTTTTCAAAAGATGGAAAGACAGAAACTGATTTGGAAGCTATTTAGTTATTGCTGATAAAGCTAAAGAGGAGTGGGAAAATGTGATAGGAAAGGGGCCACAGGTAGATCCCTCAGGGACATTGAGACATGATGATAGGAAAGGAAAAAATGCAGAAGGCAGAAATGCAGAAGGATGGGAAGAGAAAAAGAAATCTGTGTTATCATAGAATCAAGAAACATGGCTGTCATCAGCCATGGAAGGATCCAGTAAGGATGCCATGTGTTAAATTTTGACATCAGGATGGCCTTGGCCAACTTGTTTCTGTGACAATGCCTCTGTCCTGTGCCAGGTGTCAGTAGCTCCCCCAGTCCCTCTTTCTTCTATGACTAGGACTGCTCTGGACAATCTACCCCCCACCCTCCACCTGTGTCTGGTCCTGCAGAGAAGGGCTCTGCTTTGCTCTCCTTATTTAGCAGAGACATTAGAGTCCCAGAGGAAATCGGTCCTTTTTTCATATGCCATCTTTAGTCCCTCGTGGTTCTGTGACCCAAATCATCTCCTAGAACACACTCTCTGGGATCACCTGCTTCTCCTATTTCTCTGTCCATGTCCAGTTCACAGTCCCACCCCCTTTGTGTCTGGTCTCTCCTACTGCTCACAGAGCAAGAATCCAGTATCTGTTTCGATGCTTTACATGTTTGGCACTTTTTTTTTTTATGATCTATTCTTTAATTCTCTGTTCCCTATAGCTTTTGAAGAGCATTCTTTGAAAATAGCCTTCTGATTCCTCAGAATTGCTTTTTAAAGGCTATTACTGCTAGTCCAACTTTACTTTTTAAAAAACAGAAAAAAAAAAAAAGGGATAAAAGAATCGGCTTAAGCCCAGAGGAAACATTCTGGGAAGAGATGCAGGCTGCCCTGTGACTGTGCATTTTAAATGGGAGAATCTCCTCAGGATTTGAATTACCTTGGCCAGGGCTGAGTATTCCCAATGGAGTCTTTCCACTTAAACTTTTTATTAAAAAAGTAAATTGGGATTATTGTATTCCCTCACTTTACTTTGGAAGTCTAAATTTTAAATTAATTGTCGTCTAAACTGATAGCAAACAGAGAGGTTCTGATAGCAGGCTGGCAGCCCTTTGTTTAGCCAGAAGAGATTTAGGCTATTGCTTCTGGGAATGGTTTGGCTGAGGATATTTTCAATTTACACTTTTTTCTTTCCCCTAATGAAGGATTGAATTATGACTTACTAGAAAATCTCCAGTGTTGAGGGGAGAGAGATGTTGACTAACTTTGCCAGAGTTGATTGGAGTGAAGCTATTTATTTGGAAATGGGTTTTCAGTTTGCTTGAAAGCCTGCGCTGTCTGAAAAATGCCTTCAGTATGCATGAGGAGACATAACCACAGCACACAGTGAGGAGAGCTGTAAAGGATGAGGACATTTCTGTACTAGTTGCTTGTGGGTCACTATTGTGCTGTCCATGCTGCTGGTCAGTCAAAAGTGTCCCAGCCATCCCAGCCTCCTACCTTGGGAGGTCAGGAGATCCCCAACATCAGCCTGTTCAGACTGGCACCTCCTGGGGACAAATCAATCCTAGAAGGGTGGAACAGATTTGTAGACATTAATTTTTGTGATATAAGAATAGCTTTCTGCTCACTACATAGTGGGGATGGTAAAAATGTGGATGTTGCAAAACAGAATTACTGGCCTGGAAATTTTCCTTCTGTGGGCAGATGGCATGATCAAGAGCAGAGACAGACATGTCCTTCCATAAACCAAGGGCAATGATTGCACAACAGGCTTGGGTATCAGCCTCTAGAGGAGTCGGCTTGAGGTATAGATCAGTGACTTTTTTCAGAGAGTTTCTTTGAGTCCTGACAGTTCAAGTGAAACATCTTGTGAGAATATTAAGCTCAAATCTTACTATAAGCAAAGTTCCTGAAACAGAGTGAATGTATGAAGTTTGTCTACATCCCAAAACAACTGCATCCTAGACATTTCCATATTACAGGGAGAGAATTTATAAAGGAAGAAAAGAGCATCTAAAGTGAGAGTAGACCTTAAGCATAATGACCTTGGAACATTTACTCAGTGCCTCTAGTTTTCTGAAAACAGCTTTTGACTGCAAAAATATTTTTTGAAGTTGCCTATTAGAGAAATCTGTCCTAGAGGTTATTTTGCAATTTCCTAGTGTGGACTGTAATGTCAACCACTGTATGGCATCTAAAGGTACCTGTTTGTCCCCACCCACTTCCTATGTGACTGCTTTTTCCACAGACCTTGTTACCAATAGAGAACATTTTCCTGAGGATTGGGTAAGACATCCTATGGAGTTCAATTAATGACTTTTCCCCTAAACACAAGGACTTTCTTTTTCAAGCAATAAGCCAAGGAATACATGGAGAAGAAGGTTTAATGTTTTGTAGAAAACAGTCCACATTTGGTAATGCAAACTGCAGGTCAAAAGATGGCATTCTAACTTTTCCAATATATTCACAAAGACACCCTATTTCCTATTTATTGTTTCTATTTTTAAGGCTCATATTCCTAAAAAGAAGATTGAAAAAATTTTCTAGAGAAATTGAATTTTCTTTCCTGAATAATTGAAGTCTTGAGTACCCAATATTTAGAAAAACTTTAAGCACAAACTCACAGAAGAGGAAGGCTAAGAAGAAACATTTTTTTATCAGACAATTTAAATCTAAAACATAGCTGAAAATGGTCCTTCTCCTTGTATACGTACTGGCATCAAATTGTTTGGATCACATGGAACGGAAACAGTCTTGCTCTTGTAATTTTCTATTGTTTTGATGAGATATACTGAAAATGATAACCAACAAAGAATAGTGAGTCGTTCAATGTTGCAAACTCAACAGCTGATTTACCAACAAATGGAAACACTTTAATATTCACTGCATGTTATGTCCAAGGTCTACCATAAAACCAGTAAATGGGGCAGTTATCTTTGCTGTAGTCTGAAATGGAACAGGTACTGAGAGAAAGTTAACAGCCATACTCCAAATGCCACACAAATATGGAACTATGGGACCAGGAAATGTTAAGGGTTGACCTAAGTCACATTGATACCACTCAATAGTTGCTGCTGAGTATGTACATTTATAAAGGTACCCGTAATGTAGTCCTGTTTTCTGTTTATTCTTTAGTGAATTTAGAGCCCTGTATTCTTTCCTACTTCATTCTGTTAATAAAGTATTCATATAAGCATAACCCCACACAAAACACACCAATTTTAGATATATCTCCTTAAAAGGGAATTATACTTTACATAACACAGAATTATCCTTAGGAGCAGTCTCATTTCGTCAAATGCAGTGTTTCTCTAATATCTGTATAGGAAAACACTAGTGATGATGTGATAATCATATTTTGTATTAACGGTGCTTTACCTAATAATACAAAGATCCTTTGGCTCACACACACATAAATGACAGGGGAAAACATGGCTATTATTTATCCTAAAATATGAAGAGGAGAGTGATGAGGGTCACAGACCATTTGGAGGTGAAGAAGTGTGCTGGGGTCTCTCCAGTCTCTTGGTCTGCACTGTCCTTCTTCAGAAATGGAAAGCGTATATTCCACTTTAACCCTACCGGTCTGCAAATGAGGACTGAGTGAACTGTGATCTCATTCTTAATCCTCTCATCCCTTCCAATCCTTATTTTGAGGGCTGAGCCATGATCGGATTATTAACGATATTTTAAAGATTAAAACGCAGGAAACTGTGCCTGATCCTACTGATTATGACAGCCTCAGAAGCAGGCTGGTTGGTGTGGCGGGGAGCAGAAAAGGGTGGAATTTCTTTCTATGAATGTGACTTTCTAATCATAAATAAGTGTGACAAGGAGGACAGCCTTTTCAACATATCAATAAAATACAATCATCAAGCTACCCTACTGAAACTCACTACAAAATACCTGTGACTGAGTCGCTCGCTGTCTATCTTCTTGCAAATAGTTTCTTTTCCAAGCAGAAGTAATGAGAATTTTATTCTAGAAATTCTCTATTTCAAACAGAATTCTGTAGGAGGTGCCGGTCCCTTTATACATTATTAAATTTCTTGCTGAAGATTTCTTTCCCCTGAAATCTGACCTAAGGTTTTCACTGCAAACTATTGAATTTGTAGATGATTTTGAATGCTTATCAGCCTAGATGAGCTGCATCACTTTGAATGAGATTTTTGTGTTCCCGGGACGGAGGTGCATTTCTAACACCTGCAGCAGAACCTGAGACTGTGTCCCTCGCCACCAGCACCACCTCACTGCACTGTGGTCATGTTTTGCTCAGCACTGTGCAATCAATTCCTTTGTTTCCAGTAGGGAAGCAAAAAATGTAGGCCCTTTCTTTCCTACTTCATGATTTCAATCAGAATATATAGGCAACTGAAAGATGCTTGTGGGTTGCTCTTGCCCCATCATATCCTCCAATGTCCCAGCTTATTCTCGCTCTCTAGGGAGTATATTGCCAGTTGCCCAAATGCAGTAAGAGAGCTAAATAGGGACTTTAATAAATACATGAAACAGATGGAGGCTAGAAGCTCTTCAAAGTTAAAAGAACTGCATGCTTAATAGCCAAAATGCTTAATAGCAGTAATAGCTGCCAAGCCACCGCATAACTCACTAATATGCATGAACTGTAGCAGCAAGAAAGTGACTGCTTTCAGTCCCAAGGACTTTCCTAAAAATTCAAGGTTGTAAGAACCTAACCTAGAGAATAATTACTTGTCCAGACGTGATAACAGACTCTGGCAGAACAAAAATGACAGCTTGATTCACAGACAAATATAAGTCCGTCTTGGATGTCTAGCTTCCATTTTTCTGTAGAGAGATAGATGTCTTTAAAAAGCCTCAGCAATGAACATCCTGTCGGTTTAAAAGGTCAGACACTGAAGAGTATCAGAAGAGATGATGCTGCATAGACCATTGAGAGAAAAGAAAATGATTTCATTATCCTTGTTCATCTGCTATAGATTAATTCGGTTCCCATTGTCATGGCAATTAAGGCATTTCTGTAGTCCTGTCCTGACCTAGCTGAGGTGGAACAAGGTAATGAAAAGCTGTACTGGGGAAGAAGGCCACTACAGCTGAGCTGATATTCCTTAGGAACAAATACTGCAGTTGATTTAGTAAAATGAGCACAGACAAACATAACCCCCTAGAAACATTTCTCCACATGTAAGAAAGTGCAATCTGCATTTTTGATGCCCGGCGAACAATACCAGTGCTTGAAATGATTGTGTAAAAGACATTTTGTTATTTGTACTTCAATTGAGAATGGAATACTGTCTTTGTGGACGGAAAGATAGAAGAATGTTGGAAGGATTGCTACCCATCAGGCCAAATGGAGGTTGATTTTGCACCTCTCCGACCTCAGTAGTTCACATAGAGCATCTAGAACGACATGGGTGATCTTTCTAAATTGGTTCCATCTGATTTTCTTTCGATTTTTAAGGTTTCAGCTCAAACTCTCAGTCATGATGTTTAACTCCTTCGTTGCACCCCTTATATTAGTCATTCATGTGTATTCATATCACTTCTCCTGCCTTCGAAATGTCTTCCTCATCTCTCCCTTTCTTCCTATTCCCACTTAACCAGCCCTCCCATTGCCCTCATTACTCCTCACTGGGATGACCATAATGGTTTTCTAACCTTCTGTCCACTTACCTTTTCCAAATTGCAATGCATTCCGTTAATAGTCAACACCTCTATTTTTCTAAAACTTAGGTCATGCCACCTCTGAGGTCCAAATGGATTTCCAGTGACTGCTATATTAAGTACTAAGTTCTCACTTGGCATTCAGTCCTCCTGGGGAAAATTGTAGGCAGCCACTTGCACTTTATTGGTAGTCATCTATTCCCCTGATTCTATGTTCATTCCGGACCATGGATTGACCCTCAGCCACATCTGAGTATTGCATTTTTGCTTCTATTCTTTCCTTTCTTTCTTCCAGGAATGTCCCTGTCTCCCACCTAAACTTGGAATCTAAGCAATCCTACAAGTTTAATAATTTCTTCAGGCAACTCCTCTCCTCTCCTCTCCTCTTTTCTCATATTCTCTCTCTCCCTCTTTCTTTTGACTTCTGCCTACCAAACATAATTTGACTTTTATTCATATCTCTGTGATTTATACTTCTTTCTTTTAAGGTATGAAGTATAACTCTGTAAACAGTTAAACTATTTTAGGTACTTGGAGTAAGATCTGTTCAGTTTTGTCCTTTGTGAACTGGAGCTATGGAGTAAGATCTGTTCAGCTTTGTCCTTTGTGAACTGGAGCTAGATATTTAATCTTCAAAAAATTTGGTGTACAGTGCCGGGGATTTAGCTCAGCGGTTCGGTGGACTGCCTTACAAGCGAAGGACCCAAGTTCAATCCCCAGTAACAACAACAACAACAACAACAAAACAAAAACAAAAAAACACTGGTGTACATAGAAAATTCAATAACTATTTATTAAGAGCTAACTCTAGGGCCAGAGATTTAGTTCAGTGGTTCCGCCGCCTGCATCGCAAGCACAAGGACCCGAGTTTGATCCCCGGTACCAAAAGAAAAAAGAAAAAAAAAATGAGCTAACTCTATA